ATCCGGCATTGTACTATCTGAAATGAACACTATTTACGTTGGGCATTGTGCTCTTGAGTTGTTTAAGGACGTCATCGACGATGGCCAAAACTGTGACACTGTTTTGGTTACAGCTTTGAAAAACGTGAACAAATGACAGCATTTGAGGTTGACTTTCGGCTATCCTCGTGGCCGTAGTTATATGCCATGAAATACCTTGCTTTCCAAACCAATCAGTTTGGCTTTCGCGGTATTTTCTCGGGAGGTATTTCATGGCCCAATCTAAGACCAAAAGCACCGAATAAGCATCTAAATTTTTTAAAACATCCAGTCGCACCTCATCTTAGTTGATTGATCTGAGCAAATAGGCCTTCCATGCTTTGATTCTTTTCTTAGCTAGAGAAACTACATAATTCATCTCATCTTTCTCACCGCTGGAGAGTTCAGCATTTTCTAAGGCAGACTCAACTTCGTGGACTACATTCGGAAACAGCTTACATCGATCACATGCCAGGTCCTGCGCATGATCACAGGGGCTGACGTAATCAGGATCAGCCGGATAGCTAAGGGCGTAAGCCCCACAATGATATGGTACTCTGGAACTTGGCGATACATGCACCTACAAATAAACCATATCGAAGGAACTTTTGTCTACATATTTCCAATGAGGAATCGCGCCAAAAATGGAAAATTCGTTTAATTATTTGCGTCAAAACACGGTTATTTATGGCAGTATGAAGAATCATGGATTAACAGTGATGTCAAGTTGTCCTTGGGCGACAAATAAAAGTTGCAGAAATTCTAAGCACCTCGCCGCAATAGTGTATTCCTTCTAAAGAGAAGAAAAAAACCTTGGAAGGGTTTGCTCTGCCTCGCCTCCCTCTCCCACCCTGCCAGCCGCTTCTGCTTCTCCAAGGGTTAAAACTGGCGTCTTAGTCTTAAAGGTATTGCTCCTAGTTATACATTACATGGTTATTATATGTTGATGTCATCCATAACATGTACAACCGAGGAGACTTATAGACATTTGTTATAAGCAATGTGCTTCGCTTGATAATGTATCGTATTTTCAGCAGTCCTACCTTAAAATCGCCTTTAAGATAGCGTTTTGTCTGCTTTAATTTTTCACATTGGCTTTTTGCCCAGGAGAGACCTTTGCTATAGTCGCTCAGATTGTCAATGACAGCCGCTAATTCATCAAAAGCATTTGCACCCTCAGCTGAGACATAGTCAAGTCCTTGCAAAGACTTGCGGACAGAGGCAGAACATACTTTAAGAATCCTACACAGTGTAGAGCGGCTTATCGGGACAAAGCCAGTCTCATGGCTGACCTTGTCAGCCATAATCGACAATAACTGCCTGCGTGTACTCCAGTGCCCTGCGTTGTGATAGCATTCGACAAGGACCCCCAACAATGTAGAGTCAATGTCACTTGCGTCTTCGTTAGACGATTGTAAGCAGTCAAGTAGCATCTCTGCACTATTAGGTGCAATTTCTACTAAAGCTGCAAAGACGACCTGCCTTGCTATGCGCCTGTGGAACCGTTTTGTTCTTTCTGCAGCTTCTTCCCAAGGTGTAACCATTACATGGCGGATGGGACTTATGCCTCTGGAGGCCAAAAACAAATTAAGTTTCTCTCTTGAGGTACTCGTCCCAAAATTAACTCCAGATGGAGTTGTAAAACTTTCAGATGGCTGATAGAAACTTGTTGGTGTTTCAGCATCTCTCATTGGACCTTGGGGTGTCTGTAAAGTCGGACATACGTTGTCAAGGTTGAAGGTTACCTCATCATTATCCTGCAAATAGTAAATAACTTACCTTTATTACTTTTACAATTACAGCAAGGTAGAAATTAAGGCGTAGTTTGTGACCAAAAAGCACAACGGTAACATGGGACATAAGATAAGATGCTGAGAACTTAAGGGGCAAGAATGTAAACAATGTAGCAGCAAGTATTATTTTTTATAATGATATAGGTAAATGACCCAGACCCAGCGCTGCGATATGCTAACAAAGTGGGAAAGATAGGGTTATCTTGCCCGATCAGCTTGGGAGTACCCGCTGTGTCCGTACTAAAACGTTGTATTATGCCACATAAAAATGCCATGGCGGATCAAAATAGTTTATAGCAAATCGCATCAGACTCATCCGCATTTCTTAAATTGTGCTTAGTCATTTCGATCCTATATCAGTGATTAGCATTTAACATAAGGAAAACTAAAACCACACGAAGAACCCTTTTAGGCATGCGACGTGGGCAGTGTCATGTGACGTCTGCACTATCGTTAACAGTTCCCTATAAAAAGGGGAGATGGCAGATCTATCAAACAGCAAGTAGCTAAATAAGGCTAATACTAAGAAGTTAACAATTTAGCTCTTGGCGAATGGCGTGGTATACTCACTAACGTCATTTTTTCCATTCGATCAGTTATGCTGCAATCATCTCTGCAAAGACTGGAGGATCATGCATTTCACTGTCAATTATCTCTTTTATTATCTGTTGACATGTCCTGCACACACCTGAATTAAGAAATCGAAGAGCACAGTCAGGCTGGGGTGTAACCTGTTATTAATTCACAAGACTTACCTGTACCAACTTGTAGGAATAAACCCGTTTTGCGTAGTATTGCCTCTGATTCATTATTTCCCAAACCTCTTTCACCATTTGGCCACAGTCCTTTGCCTTTACCATGGACGGAAATTTCTTCCGGAACCCTGCATCTGGTGCTCGATCCCCTGGTCCAGCCTAACCCAAGTTTTGTGCGATGGTTAGGACATATCGTCATGGTGCGCAAACTTTCGCTTTTGCTGAATTTCCCCACTCGGCATAAAATCAGCTCCACTTCATCTTCAGGTCCAGTAAATTTATAAGTAGACTTATGACTGTCGATATCCTTCTTGCACGAAAGTAACGGAACGATTTCAGAATTACGCTTTCGATCTTTAGGGTTATAACCGCAAACTCCACCAACAATAACTTTAAAAGAACAACAACCCTCCATTTTCCGTCACAAAAAGTGAACCAAAGAGAATACCAATAACCGCAACTAAGCAAACAAAAGGCGCCAAATATTGTGGCATGGCCAGG